TGTAACAGAACGATGAAATTTTGAAAGTAAAATAGATTGATACCGCGTTTTTAAAAATCAATTTGATATCAGCACATGAAATATATTTGAGTATATTATTTTTCAAAGTGTCAGAAATGGATAACAAAACTGCTATTTTCAATGACTACTTATTTTTGTCCAGCTTTAACATCAGTATCAATATCGGTTATCGGCTACATGAGTTTTAAAATATCGGCATATCGGATATCGGCCAAAATCCCAATATCGTGCATCCCTAGTTAAAACCATTGGTGTACAAAGGTGATGGATTTATTTTTGCACCTTTGTACTGGAACATTCATAGATGAATAAATAAGATAAAAAAAAAAAAAAAAAAAGCATAAAGGATGAACACCGTTATATATGCAAGGAATTAAGATTACTCCAAAATCAGTTATTTTAATCCATTTAGGTTCTTTTTCTTCTGCAATTATAGGTAAATGCAGCTGGAAGACTTTTTTCACTTTATCACCATTTACACTAGAATAAGATCGCTCTACACTCTTTGAGGCCTCCGTAACTCTTAGCAAATTTAGAAAACCTCCATTCGGGTTAATGACTCTACTGCGTGGCAACTTTTGAGGCATTTTTAACAGTTTAAATTTACACGCACATAGGGTAACTTTCTGCACTTCCAACCCTATTAATTGTAGAGAAAATAAACGGTATGTATTTTCAATACATGCGGTATGACAGAATGCAAGTGAAGGAAAATCCCAGTGACAGTAACCTTAGCAGGACTAACCATACATTTGTCATTGCATTTGTCTTAAAATATTAAACAGATTCAGTGGTCTGAGTATATATTTTGATGCATATATTCAAAAGGAACCATATTCAATAAATACATTTTATATTTTAAATGATCACAGTATGATAATCAATCAAAGTTTCTCCACCCATTCATTCTCTTAGCCTCCAAACTACTAGTTTTGGCAGATATTTTAGGGATCACCACTTCCTTCCAGTTAGAGGCTGTATTTCACAGGGACCTGAGAGGACACTGATCTCTTCTTTTTAAAGACGAACCATTATTTATTGCTTTGGAAATGGAGGAATATTTATTTCAACTGATTGGTAAGATCCTTCTAAATAGAGTTATAGCAGAGGCAGGGCAGACTGCTGGCGTGGATGTGATGATGTGCTGGTTTTAACTTTAAGCCTGCATCTATATCAATGATCACTTACTATAACTGCAATTGGAATCGGCTATGGAGCACCCAAGACGAGCACATATCACCCCATGATGATAACCTCAAATACCTTGCCTTAAAGGTATAGTGGAGGATTTTTGCGAATATTTGAAAAGTCCCGTCCTCTCCACCTAAAAAAAAAAAATCAATGCACATGCATAATGCTGTACCCACTCCCGAAAGCCTTTTAAACGCGTGCAAGACCGTGCATGAGCCCCTTTCTCCTTGTGCACGCTCCGTTTAAAAGTTGCTGTTTGCATCACTCATACAAGCTTACTTTCCAAAAGAAGATTTGCAGTTTTTCCGCTATGCCAGACTCACCGCAACCGCACCGGTAAGTGAAAATAGGGACGAGCACGTAGGACGGCCTTACGTTAACATATCATCAGAATGACGAAGGACTTATTTTGATGATCCACCCAGAAAAAGAACATCCTCCACCATACATTTAAACATTTTGTCTGCGCTCAAAGTTAGAGCTTTACATGACTATTGGCAAAAACATCTCCCCAACACCCTGTGAAAACAGCGAGGTTGATATTTTATATCAATATATAGTGCATTCTTATTCCAGTGCAAATGGGCTCTAAGAAAGTTAATGAGGTGATTTCTTCACCCGTAAAAAGAATACATCCCATAATGTCAAAGATGGCCACAGCAGGTGTCACTCAAAACAAAACTTCACAAACAGAAGCTTCAGTGGTCAGTTTTGCTGTATGGCACACAAATGATACGTCCATAGCATTTGATTATGCTTTTTTAAATATTTTATAAGAAAATATCATTTATGATTTTAAAATAAAAGTCCACATAGGAAGTATGAGAAGGAACCACCAAACTGGTCCGGTCCAAACAATCTTCTGCATCATTGCTGGAGAAGGTAGATAGTGATGGCTTGTGTGCTTTCCATTGTAACAGTCTTCTGAGGTCTGTCCCGTAATACTCAGCTCCTGATGGGGAACCTGTCACAGCTCTCTGGAGGCTGATGCTGTTTTTCAGTCTGACTCGACTGAATCAAACGGCCACATTTGTTTAGCAAATTAAAGGATGATATGAGTTTTCTGGCAGAAAGGAACTTTTAAATGGCTCTCAGCAGCTTTCTCCCAGAATCCTGTGCAGGTCCTCAGACTGAACTCGACCTTCCTCACCACGACTGATATTCTTCACCATCCTGAAATCACAAACAATGCAGCAGAGGGCAAGAAGAGATTCTTAGGATTTTGGTATGCAACCATGTTTCTCTGAGAAATCAGAATATTTATAACACATTACCATACTCCCGATGAATCCTCATAAAGCAGCTGGATGACATCGCCGCAGTTAAAGATGATGTCATCGGCGCTGGCCATGCTGCTTTCTACCATCACCCTATACCTGCCTGCCACCTGTAGCAGAGGAATACAAAGCTAATGGTAAACATGCACATAGAAAAATATCCCATTTCCTTTTCTCACTTATTTACTGCAAAAATTA